TCCGCTCAGGCCGCTCCTTGCAGCTTTGGGAATGTCCGTGTGGGAGCGCAGGGAGCCTTGTGCTTCCCTCGGGCGCGTTGCCCAGCGGGCTCCTCTGCTCGGGGCGCGTGCAGGGGCTGCGTGTTGGTCACACCGAGCTCTGCACCTCCGTGAGCACCTCCAAGCTCTGACGGGACAACCAGGCTGCCCGGCGCCCTCGGAGTGGTGAAAGCAGCTCCGCAGCCTTGGGGAGGTCGGAGCGTGGAGCTCCGGGTGCTCCAGGGGAAGGAGGGTGGAGGAGCAGGACCTCCTGTTCCGCTCTGCCAAGTGTCAGCTCGGGAAGGCGCCCTGTAGTAGCCGCTGATCGCGCAATTCACTGGTGTTTTCCCTCCCTTTATTGCTGAAGATGACGGGGAATACAAGCAGGATGTTTAGTTTATTGCATCCCCTCTGCTCTTCCTGCATGAATCCCTGTCTGACGTCTCGGCGGTTGGTTTCCCACCACGTCGGCCCCGTGCGCAGCCTGTGCCCTCCGCTCGCGTCGCTTTTTTTTTCCGGCGCCGGGCAGCCCCGCGGGCAGCGTCTCGTCCATGGGCTGCTCCCTTCCCGCAGCCGTGAACGCGGCGCGAGTGATGCCGCGCGCGGGACGGGGGGTCAGCGCGGCCGGGCGCTCCGTGCCCTGCCCGTGGCTCCGCTGCTCCGTTGGGAGCGCCACCAGACTGTGCAATTACCGGGGGTCCTTCCGCCCCCTCCGTGGGCAGAACGGGGCCGTGGAAAGCCCACAGGAGCGGATGGTCAGCGTGCACCAGGCTCCGTAATGAGCCAGGTCATAACGTAGATCTGAATTCACTTTATTCTTGCTGCAAATGATTTTATCACAAAGTTTAAAAAAGTAAGAATATATTTTTCTTCTGTTGCCAGTGTCCTTTTTTGTGTTCTGTTGCCTCTGTCCTTTTTATTTACTACTAGCCACCTGTTCAATTAGGGAGATTGTAAAATTTATCAGAGCGACAATATATTTAAAAAGAAATGTGCAAGCATGTGTGCAGCAATAAAAAGCTATATATTTCACTATTTCTGCTGTGGCCTGTTGATCAGCAGCTGATGGCAGCGTGGCTTTATTTCTGGAAGGACTTGGTGGGTCCAGCAGCTTCTCCTGCACCCGAGCGATGGTGGCTCTGCCCCTCCTGTCCTGAGCAGCGACGGGGACAGGGACGTGGCGGCTCTGGCGCCCGGTGCCACCGCGTTGTGTCCTCGCTGCCGGGGGGTTTTGCAGCCTCGTCCGTGGCTGATGGTGTCTCAGGGAGGAAGTCACTGTGGGCAGTTGCCAGCAGGTGAGTTGTCACCCCCTGCCACCATTGTCGGTGCTCTTGTCATTACTGATGAGTTTATTCTGCTCATTAAATCCAAGGGTGGAGATTGCCTAGTCTCCTTGGAAAGCGCTTCCTTCACTTGCCCCTGGAGTCACTGGGACGTGTGTTTCCTGCAGAAACTCAAGCCCACTGACGGGCCAATTCTCTTGCCCAATTCTCCCACTCCTGTCCTCTCACGGGTCGGGGCGGCCGCGGTGGCTCCCGTGACAAGCGGCGGTGACAGGGCTGCCCCGGGGAACCTTGGGGGTGTTGGGGGCCCAGGGGCTCTGCCTGGGAACCTGCCACGTTTCTGCGGGAGACTCAACAGCGTCCGCGTCACTAGCGCTGCTGGGAGGGACCCACCTGGGACAAGCTCAAGCTATAACCTGGCTCTTGGGCTGCAGCAAAGAGAACACGCAGGGAGTGTCGTGCCGCAAGGACCGGGAGTGAAAGGTGGGAGCATCCTCAGGACACTTGAGCTGTTCAGGTTGGTACAGCCACGGTCACGCTGCAGCGAGGGCACCTTCCCTCGTCACACCTTGTGCTGTGCTCCCTGCTTTCCTGCCTTCCCTCCAGGAACCTGGCGCCGCCCCGTGCGCTCTGGGGTGCTGCATTTTGCTGGGTCTTGCACATTCGTTGAGGAGGAGCGAGCGCAGCCAGCGCCGCTGCCGAGGAGCGAAGGCCAGCGGCCGCGTTGGGGCTCTGCTCGCAGCGGGGGACGCGTGTGTCGGAGCAGCAGGTTTCATCTTGCCTTTGAGCTAACCGGGTTTGACATAACAAATTTATTAAGAGAATGGAAACCACAGGGGTGAACTGTTTCTCCGAGTAGGGCCCCGTTCGCCATAAGGAGCCGTCTCGCTCGCGGCTGCTGTTGCTCCCTGCCTTGAAGATGTGCTAAGTGAGCCGGGGAGCCAACTCTGTTTCCAGGGTTAAACGGCTCCTCCTCTGGAGATGCCTCCTGCTGCTGGGACACCCCCAGCTCCGCGGGCAGCTGTGCGTTCCCGTGGGCTGCGTTGCTTGTGCCGACCCGGGAGCTGTGGCCTGGGCTGCCGGCG